TAAACCACACAACAAAACACACACACAGATGATGCTTAGTAAGATTCATAGTAACTCTAGTACCTTGTAAATTGCGTGCTACCTGTGTTATACAAAATGATCAGCATGCAATTGAAGGAGTGTGGCACCTTTGAGACGCCGTAATGAGTTCATTGTGACTTCTGGAGCATAAAAGATGATGAAAGCAGTGGCGAGAGGCCTTGAACTCATTGTGAAGGGCCTCAGGTGCTATATTTATGTTTACCTTTTGAAGGTATTGCTAGAGTCTTTAGGCAAAGGAGCCGTCATGCTGACAGAACTGCAGAAAATTAGAGTAGCAGAGAAAGGAAGGAAGGAGTCTATGTCAAAGCAGAGAAAGGAGGTCAAGAGTGTATTTCAAAATCAAAGCTAGACATAAGGACAACGATAATAAAGATTGAGTAGAGATGTGATGTATTGGAGAGGTAGGAAATAGAATTAAAAGACTTCATCAGCAGAGAATATGTGGGTTAAAAAGAGGAGTCATTAACCATTGGGCTGAGTTATGTAATCACAGAAGGACAATTAATGATCTAAGAGCACCTTTATAAAAACCTAAAGAAAGATTTACATGCAGATAGACTCATTCTTGGATGGGAAGGGAGGGAGAAGGGAGTAAATGTTAATAAAATAGGTGAAGTGAAAGGCAGTAGTATACAATAAGGAGTTGATCAGACATTGTCATTAATTACATTAATCAATTACGATTAATGTTCTAAAACAAATGTTTATGAAGGTTTGAATGAAAAATCAATATGATTTAAAACTTTCACTCAATTTTAGAACAACAGATAATAATAAAATATTGAAATAAATAAATCGATAGACCAAGAATTACTATCAGGCACCTATCTTATTTACTGCACATAAATGAAGGGGCAATTTACCAAGCTAGAACATTCAAGAAGAGAACCAGCTTGGAGTTGGGGGAGGCTGATTAATTCTGGCACAGATTGTTGAATCTGATATTGAATATGTTGTTGAGTTCTCTGGGTTTCTTTAATGTTGCAGTTTTTCAGTTTCTTTAAAAAAAATGTCCATTATTTCAAACACTATTCATTCAGTATCAAATCGTTTAAGATACTGCCGGTTCAAACTATTCATTATACAGGATTTTGAATGAACTAAATTCTAGAAAAAGAGTAATAATTAAAATAATGCATTAAAAAACAGATGTTAGCTACATAGTCTTTGCAGTATACATATGTTAAAAAATAGGTATAATATTATTAAAGCCACAGTTTTGTATTTGTTGAACAGGTATTTGTGTGTACATTCCAATTATCTTGTGAATTAAAAGTCCAGTAATTGATTACCTATCAAGGGCATGCTACTTGTGTCAAATAAGTGCTAAATAGTCCCAGTGTATCAGGTTCATGAGTTGCCCAGGAAAAGTACAAATAATAAAGTAGGAGATGGATCGGATATATGGAAATTTCTCAAATGAAAAAATTTATTTCTTTGGCTCTGTACAGCAATTACATGGCACCCTCACGTCAGCTGATATTCCAATGCTTCTAAAAAATTTATCTTCCATTTCCATGCAGAGCTTAGCTGGTGATATCTGTTATCTCTGTCGGAAAGTACAGTGGTGCAACACGTTAGTCTCATCAGCTCTCCCCACTGTGCATATAGCTCCATAAATGCAAACTTGGCCTGTGTCATTTTACACAGAAATCTTTAGGCTTGTATGCTTATGTGTTACCTTGGCATTAATTGGAGTTGCTGTCTATATTAATAAGTACAGATGCCTTAAAAAGTTCCGAGTGAAGGGAGCTCTGGTTGCCTGGTGACAAGAAGCTGCACTGCGATCCCAGAGGTGTGCAGTTCAAATCCACCAGGTGCTCTGCTGGAAAAGGAGGGACAATCTCCTCCTGTACCAGTAAGACCTGATTTGATGGCACACACACCCACAAAATGTTCTGAGTGAATAGGATGTAAGCCAGTCTGTAGTAGAATCTAGCCAATTGTTGTTAGGTGCTATCAAGTCAATTCCAACTCATAGCAACCCTGTGTACAGCACATCCAAAGCCCTTGCCCTCCTCCCAGTCCCCACTGTGCTTATACACCTTGTTGTCGCTGTGTCAGTCCGTCTCATTGAAGGTTGTCCTCTTCCCAGCTCAGGGCCTTTCCTTTGCTGGCTCATCACTTTTCCAAGTGTGATGTCCTTTTCCAAGGACTGCTTTTCCTGATAACATTTCCAGATTATGTGAGACATAGTCTAATGTGATTCTTCAGCATTTCCATAAAGTTTCTAGGAATATCAATGTGTTTTTGTAGATGAAAAAATAGTAACTTAAGATGTATACTCAGTCCTCTTTGTCCATGTTTCCTATAGATGATGTTTCCAAAACAAAATGGTTAAAAAGAAAACCAGCAAGTTGGCTTGTCACATAACAAGTTTGCATAATCCTTTAGTCCCAAAGGCTGTTTCAGGAGGTAGAACACATCCGAAACACAATATTGTAATTTTATATCAATATTTTTCTCATTCATACACATTGTATTTAATGTATGTGCATTATGTTCCATATAGCCCTTCATTATAAACCAAAATGGAGAAAAATGATGGGCTAACCGCCTCAGAGGATCTTAGACAGTAACAGCTTTTCTTTAATTGGAGTGAATTCAGTAGGATTGTAATCATTGTAGTTTATAATATCTGCAGAAATACAAGACAAAATAAGAAGTAGTTCATACCTTAACTGGATGAGAGGTTAGTAGGATTTGCCTGCAGTTGTTCTTTTATAGCGTCCTGCCGATAGTGACTAGAAGAAACTTTTAGACAGACCATATTTTTTTTTATGCTGCAGATAATTCAGGGGCCTCCTAAGCACATTCATTCTCAAAATAGTCAGGAAAAGAATATGCTTTCATAAAGAACTAAGGAGTTGGTATCAAGATTCAGTAAATTTCCCCAGTAACTTACAAATGTCAGAATGTACAAAAAAGTCTTTTTTTTTTAATCTTAAAACTAGCCCTTGTTCAAAACAAGCTAGAGTTCTTAAAAACCATCTGTAGACTGTTGTTGTTGGGTGCCCTTGCGTCAGTGTCAAGTCATAATGGCCCCACCTGTATACAATGGGGTGAAACCCTGCCTGCTTCTTCTGTTGGCTTTCTGGGGCTGGAATTCTTTAAGGGAGGAGACTATGCTGCTTTCTCCTGAAGATTGGCTAGTGGACTAAAACAACTAACCTTTAAATTAGCCTGTTACATCTTGGGCTCTTTAGTTCCTTAGTCGTCAAAGGCTGCTATTTAGCGGCTTTTTGGTAGTTTTTTTTTTAAATTATTTTATTATTTTGTGTCTGTGTACCATCAAATCAGATCTGACTGGTACATGGGATTGCCCCTTCTTCTCCAGCAGAGCATCTTGTGGATTTGAACCACACAGCTCTGGGATTGCAGTGCAGCTTCTTGCCACTAGGCCACCAGAGATCCCTTATTTAGTAATTCTTATGTGTTACTCCAGCAAGGTAAAGTCGGTAAGCACCACTTACATACCTCCATGTTTTTCAACTTTATATTAAGGAAGTACAGAGACTCCTCCCTTGACAAGAATCATTCCTATCATTGTTTTCAGAAGCCAATGTAATAAATTCTTAATAAACCTGAGCTCAGAGGAGAGACAGGAAACAACTCATGCAATATTATTCAAAGTGGGTGACCCTGGAGGACATTATGCTGAGTGAAATATCTCAGTCACAAAGAGCCTGAACATCTTGTGCCACAAAGTAAGGAAATCCTCAAAAAAGTGATTGCAGTCGGGGGGCTCTAGTGGCCTAGTGGTAAGAAGCTGCACTGCAATCCCAAAGGTGCAGTTTAAATCCATCAGAGGCTCTGCTGAAGAAGGAGGGGCAATCTCCTTCTATGCCAGTTAGATCTGTCGACAGTACACTAAACCAAACAAAAGTGATGCGGGTATAGTAAAAAAGACCAAATCAAAATATTTTCTCTTTAGGGCAGTTTGAACTTGAAAATAACTACCATAATGAATTTAAAAATAATTTAAAAAACTAAGAACCTGTATGTCCATGCTAGTAATAGAATGATGGGTTTATAAACTGTCAGAGAAGAAAAGAATGCTGATTAATAAATATGTAGAGAGTGGTGAAATTAGAAAACCACCATTTGCAGTTGTCATAATAAAGGTTGATTTATTTATCAGTGAATACTAAATTTAGATGACTACATTTCTGTGAGGAGCAGGATGTTTTCATAGCCTTAAGTGCTTTGCTTCTTTGCATATTGCTGCTAAGCATCAAAGGGTAAAATTTTAACTGTAAAATGGAAAAAATCAGTGAGCGGATACATAAGTGTCGGGATGTGATGCTCTGAGAAGGATTCAACATCACTTATTGTCATATTTGCATAAGCAGTATACATAACCTGAATTGAGGAAATAACAGAGAAAAGCCAAGCAGACATGACAGTTAAATGTAATATGTAATCTGGGAATGGATCTTGGACTGGAAGGGGGGGGAACAACAACAATAAAAGGACATAATTAAGAACATTGCCAGAACTGAAGTATAGATAAAGCATAGGCATTAAATTTCCAGGATTTGGTAACTACAGTTTTAGGTGGTTTAGTGGTAAGGAGTTGTACTGCCAACCTAGAGTCACACAGTTCAAATCCACCAGCTGCTCCACGGAGAAGGATGGATAGTCTCTTAACCATACTTATTAGCTGAGCTGGTTCCAACTCAATGGTGCATAACAACAACAATTATATTAGAGAACATCTTCTTAGAAAATACATATTGAGGAGGAAAGGGAGGGTGATGCATGTATTTATTCTCAAAAGGCTTATGAAGATGAGCATGTGGTAAATGAGAAAAGAACTAGTACAAATGTAATACATTATGGAATTCAGTGGTGAGTTGGAGTAAAGGAGTTTTCTTTTATATTTGTATAGCTTTGTTGTAAGGTTAAATTTCTTTTTAATAAAAATTGAAAGTATAATTCTGGTTGATGTCTTCTAGCCCTTTCTAAAGCACAAAATGACGTGATGACAATGAAGATGCAATCAGAGACACTTTCAAAAGAATACGACCGACTCCTAAAAGAACACTCAGAACTTCAGGTGGGTAACCAACTTTCACTTAGGGACTTACATTTCTTGAAAGGTCACCTATTTGGAAATGCCAGCCTTTCTATTAGCTTCTCAACATGCGATATGCTATGCCCAGGAGCTCCTTAGACAACTGTAAGATGCAATTCATTGTCTTGTTTGATCACTTTTTTTACCCTCCATCCACTTACCTACCCCTTCTCCTTTGTCCAGTATGAAAATTTATCTAAGACTGGTATTTGGACATTATTAAATGAGAACCATTGTCTTAGAAATACTCCTATTTGATGTTCACCTTATGTCCTTTATTTGAAAAACAAACCATTGATGTAGACTGTCTAGGATAAAACTCTGTGTATTGTATATTTTTGAGTTTGACTTCCATCTGGACCCATAGTGTCCCTATGAACAACTGTTCTGAACTTTGCCCTTTCCTGCCCCATGCTCATGAACTCTGCCACATTCAAACCCTTTGTCACTGTGTTAATCCATGTCCTTAAAAGTTGTCTTTTCTTTTAATGACTCTCTGTCTTTCCTAGCATGGTATCTTTTTCCAAGGATTGTCTCTTCCTAATAATATGCCCAAAGTATGTGAGACAAAGATTCCCCGACACACTTAGGAACACTCTGGTTGCACTTCCTCCAACACGAATTTGTTTGTTACTTGGGCAGTCCATGAAATACTCAGTACTCTTCATCGCAGTTCAAACACCACAATTCAAAGGTATCAATTCTTCTGTTGTCTTCCTTATCCATTGTCCAACTTGCAGAATGCGTAGGAAACAATTGGAAGATCAAGTGCACCTTGGTATTTAAACTGAAATCTTTGCTTTTTAGCACTTTGGAGGGGTTTTTGACAGCAGATATTTCCCAATTCAGAATGTCTTTTGATTTCTTGACTGATGCTTCCTTAATCATGGTAATTGATTTATTACTAATGAGATTAATGTTCTTTAAGAAATGTTCATTAGCTGTCTCATTTTTTTAATAGTTTATATACTTTAAAAATAAAAGACTATGAAATATTAAGGAAACAAAAGCAAAAGATGAGAGATTCTTTTACTGTAAACAAATCTTCACATTTTTTTAAATTCACTTGGCTTTCCCTAGCTGATTTCCTGTCTGTGGTAGACACTGAATAAATAGTAGGAAGCAGACCCTTCAAAATATGTAGTCTTTGCCTTTCTTTATTTGTCCTGACTGTCTCCTGGCGAGAGGGAGCAGTACCCATCATCACTTGCCAATTTTTAAGTTTCACTTTGGAAAATAACCCTCCACTTAGAGGACTTGTGCATAGTAACAGCTCCATTACAGCTTTGATTTTTTTTTCTTTTTACAGCTTTGATTTTTTATCTCAGGTAGTAAGATATGTATGTGTAACCTGTGAAAACGATACTTCATCACTTAGTGCCATCTTCCTGTTTGGTTTGTTATGCAAGTTCTGAAGCATCAATACCTAGCCTGAACAAGAGCCTGATGAACTTCCTGGATATAAGCAATAACACTCCATAACCCAATTTTAGGAAATGTTTGTCTTGCTATAGACACTTACCTTTTAAATTCAGTGATAAAATAGATAAACCTACCGCTGTGGAGTTGTTCCACATAAAGAAAACCCTCTATTGGCTTCTGAGGATGTAAATCTGTATGGGAAGACAATGCCTGTCTTTTCTTCTGAGGAGCAGTTGGTAGATTCAAACTGCTGACCTTTGGATTGGCAACTTTGTGTACTGTACCACCAGGGCTCCTTGTGGTAAAAGGTACAAAAAATAAAATCCAGCATTTTAACCATTTTCAAATATACAGTCCAGCGGTTTTAATCACACAATGTCATATAATCATCAGCATTTGTTTGTAAGACTTTTTCATTACTGCAAACAGAAACTCTGAATCCATTAACCATTAATTTCCCCGTTTCCTTTTTTCTTGCCATGATAGCCACTAATCTACTTTCAGTCTTTTTGTACTTATCTCTTGTCTAGGCTGGATACATTTTATAATTTAAATCATACATTCTTTGTCCTTTTACAGTTGATGCATATCATTTAGCATGTTTTCAGAGTTCATCCATATTGTATCAGGTATTACAATATTATTTTTTATCACTCAGTTGTATGTATGTATGTATCATGTTTTGATCATCCATTATCTCTTGATGGACACTTGTTTCTACATTTTTACTATCAGGAATGCCATTTCAAGAGTCCAGTTTAGTTCCAAGTTTAAATTATTGACGGTGTAAGACTCACCTCATTGCCAGGAGTCAGAGCCAACTCCTAGCTGCCTCTCTCTAGCCTATTTTCAGAGGTTCTAATTCACATGGGAGGAGATTGCCTGTCTTTCTCCATCAGAGCTGTTGGTGGATTCAAACTGCCAGACAGACACAGCCTCTGACTCGGCCATCCCAGTCCCTCTGTGCTGTTCTGACTTACATGGTAATTCATTATTGACTTTTTTAAAGAAATTCCAAAAGTTTTTCATAGTGACTACCCAATTTTACAGTCCCATCAGTGATGGACAAGGGTTCCACTTTCTTTACACACTTACCAGCACTTGTTTTTTCCTTTTGTTTTGTTTTTATAATAGCCATCTTCATGTTGTAAAGTATCTTTTTGGGGCCAGATGATTTCTTAACATTATTTTCTGTTCCATTTTCCTCTAACTTTGGATGGTATATAATATTTTATAATATTAAGAGCAAAAGTCATTTAATAAGGTAGAGTTATTGGCAAATATCTAAAGGATGGGGGAAGATACTAAATCTGTTTGGTTTGTTATCTTCCTTCCATTCACTCTTCCCTTGCCAAAAATCTTAATTGGCTTTTAGTAGGAAAACTTTAGGAATTTGTTTTCTTAGTGTGACCTGTAGAAGTCAACTAAATGCAGAATGTTGAGCTCTGGTGGCCTAGTGGCAGGAAACTGCACTGCAATCCCAGAGGTGCGCCGTTCAAATCCACCAGATGCTCTGCTGAAGAAGGAGGAACAATCGCCTCCTGTACCAGTCAGATCCAATTTGACGGTACACACATAAAAAGAATGAATGAATGAATGAATGAATGAATAAATAAATTATAAAAAAAGTCTTAGCTATTCCAGAACAAAAACCAAAAAAAAAAAAAAAACCTAAATGCAGAATGTTGTATTTTCCCTCTCAGGCATTTTTACCAAGAAAAAAAATTTTTCCCAAATCTTCTAGTTTGTCAGTCCACATTTTCACACTTAATCTCATAGTTATTGACTACACAGAGGGAGAATGTTTTCTAAAAGTTTGATGTGCTGGACAAATTACTTACGGGAGTCCTTGTACTGTACGTATTGTGCTGCTCACCCAAAAGACCATTCCTCACTAGCAGTTTGAATCCACAAAAGAACAAGAAAAAGATGGCAACCATTTCCACTGAGATGTACAGCCTCAGACCCATGGAGGCTTGCTGTGAATTGACTCAACTCATTGGCACTGAGTTTTGAGCCATTTATATACTTACGACTCACATGGGATGATTTGGTTGTTGTTAGGTGCCATCAAGTTAAGTATAATTCATAGCAACCCTGTGATCTGAACCTGTGCCATCCTCATCATCTGACACACTTGAGCCCATTGCAGCAATCACTGTGTCAGTACATCTCACTGGCTGTTTGCCTCACTTTTGCCATCCCTCCACCTTTCCAAGCATGATGTCACTTTCCAGAGAATCCTCACCAGTGGACCAATAGCAACATCGTGATAGATGGCGGGCAAAAAGTTGTCAACAGTTTCATTGTAGTAGTAGTCAGGAAATCAAAAGACATGCTACACTGGGGAAACCTGCTGACAAGGACCTTTACAAAGTGTTGGAGAGTAATGATGTCACTTTAAAGACTAAGGTACACCTGATCCATGCCATAGAAGTTGTCATTTATTTCATCTTACTTGGATCCAAAATCAACACCCTTGGTCTTTTCAGTCAGGAGATCAGGAGATGTATTACATTAGAAAGTACTACAATCAGGGACCTCTCCAAAGTACTGAGAAGCAGTGATGTCAGTTTGAAGACTAATTCAGGCCATGTTTTTTTCTGATCACTTGGTATGTATCTGTGAATGAAGCTGACAGAAGAATTGATGCCTTTGAGCTGTGGTTTGGGAATAGAGTGCTAAATATCCCATAGACTGCCAAAAGAATACACATGTGTGACTTGGACAGAGTATGGCCAGAACACTCCGTAAAGGCAAGGATGGTGAAGCTTTGTCTCACAAACTTTGGACATGTTTGTAGGAGGAATTGTTCCTTGGGAGTAATTGGGTAGCTCTGTGCAAATAATGTGCTTGTGGTCTACCAAGGTGATTGGAGAGCTTATTAATAATCTTTATGAAACCCTTGTTGAGAGTGAGAACAGGCAAATAAAGTATATGGAAACCTAATTAAGGGAGTGGTCATTTCTGTCAAAAGCAGAAGAGGACCTCTCTATATCCACTGTCCCTGACTAAGACCATCTTAGACTCGAAAAATAGGGTTAAAAGTCACACTAGAGAGAGAAGCAGTGGCAGAAACTGGAGCAGCAGAACCAGAAGACTAGCACAAGACAGCATAGAGTGGGCAGAGCAGCTTCTGTGGGCATCCTGGCCCAAGGAGTGAGAGAGGTGAGGATCTTTTGAGATACCTTAAGGCACATGGTGATGCCAACTTTACCAAACCACAGAAACAGAAGTGGTGTTTTTTGTGGCCCTTACTGGTGGAGCTAAATAACTTTTTAACACTTGCCTAAACAGAGCAATGGCCAGGCTTGAGGAAACGCAGGCCAACAGAGAGAGGTCTAGCCTGTATATATGGCTGACAAGAAGCTGTCTTGATGGAAGACTTGTACCTGAGTTTTTTTTCTGGTTATAAATTCTGCTTAAGGTTTTTCATTCAGATGTCTGTCTTACCCAGTCATTAGCTGTGTCTTTTGGGCTGAAATAATTACTGTATTAAGGAGAGAGGATTCAGATGGCATATAAGCTCTACCCTACTAGAGGCTTATGTAAGCTCATAGGATCTCAGCAGTAGGCACTCTGTCTTGTGGAACACTCACTCACCTGGGACACAGTATCCAGCCTGCATCACTTGCAGCCAACATTTCAGCTGCACCACAACTGACAGTCTGATGATCCTGGACATCACTGAACAATTTCTGCCAAACCAGCCTGTATACCTAATCATGTGAGTCATTACTCCTGTGAGTCTGAGTCTCTGGTAGGTGTTCTAGCAAACCACCCAACCCCAGGGACACAGAGGAGCCAGGAAACTGAACAAAGGAGGAGCTGTCGATGCTGGAAATCATAGAGTTAATGGCAAGTCAAGCATTTGTGACAATATTGACTAGACACCTCTTATAACTGGTCTGCTTCTAAACTTAGCAGAACGAATTATAAAAAGCTAAGTTTTTATAAAAACATAAGCTATTACTTCCTGATACACAACAGCAATCCTCAGTATTGAACCAGTAAACTACATCATGGTACATGAAGAACATACTGAGGTTGTCAAGGATTTCATTTTACTTGTATACACAGTTAACACCTGTGGAAGCAGTGGTCAAGGTTGCATTGGGCAAACCTGCTGCCAAGGAGCTGTGCCTGACCTAAGACATGTTACTTTCAGTCATACCATATGCATTTGACAGTGTGACACCTGCTGAATAAGGAAGATTAAAGAAGAATTAATTGATGCTTTTTAATTATGATGTTGACAAAGAATATTAAATATATTATGGACAGCCAGAAGAACAAACAAGTCTACCTTGGAAAAAAATACAGCCATAATGCTCCTTGAATGTGAGGATGGCAACACTTTGACGTGCTTTGGACATGTTATCAAGAGGGACCAGTCCCTGGAATACATCATGATCGGTAAAGTGAAGCATTGGTGAAAAAAAAAAGCAAAGTTCTCAGTAAGGGGAATCGACATAGTGAAGATGATGCAGGGCCTGACACTGTTTTATTATATGTGTGTAGAGTCACACTGAGTCTGAACTGATTACGCAATGCTCACAACAGCAACTTCCCTAATCAGTAGCCCCGTAACAGGGTGCTCTGTGTGGCCACTGCAGTGGATTAGAGAACCCAGCAGAGAAGGAGAGAAAGTGCTGTAGAGGGACAGCCGGTGCCAGAATGGGTAAAAATACTAGAGGGTGGTGATCTCTCTGACCTCCACCTCGTAAGAATCATCAGTTTTGTACTGATGTTGATCATAATTCTCCTCCATCCCTTGTTAGAGTCAGAGGCTGATGCCACTGGTCATTTTTATAAAAAAGTGAAAGTTTGTTAATCTCTTTTTGACTGAAGTAGTTACCTAAAACTTTTTTTTTCTTTACAGGATCGTGTAGCAAGAGACAGTAAGAAAGATCTGTGACTTTGTGAAAGAAGACTGTGATAGACCATGTCAAGATGATTAACCTGTTATCATGTTAATGTCTAGGAAATTTATAATTCACTTTAGAAAAATGTTCTGTATCTGACCAGCCCATTTTTTAGTGCTACACATAAGCTGTATGGTAATTGCATTGTTGCAGTACTTGATGATGTTTCCAGTAATACAAGGTCTATATTCCAGCTCTTAAGAAAAATATAAGCATGTTAAATATTATACTTACATATTGATAGCAAAATTGAAATAGAGGGGCTGTTTACAAATAAAAGGAAAAATTCATTAGCCAGTTACTTCAAAAATTAGATGTTTAAGTTGCATGAAACCACTGATAGGCTTTGGTGCACTTTCAGTATTAATTTTACTCTGTTTAGTCAGATGCTGATGTTATTGTTTAACAGTAACATTCGCTACTACTAAACTTGTTCACAGATTAAATAAGGGTAAATTTTCAGAATTAGCTACTGTATTTATAGAATTGAGTCAGAAAGAAAAGACAGTAACTCTTGACCTTAGTTTGGCTTTTTAAAAATTTGATGGTACTATGGTTTTCTCTTAAAAGTCAGCTATTTAATAACTTTTTTTGTTATTGTGTACTTGTGTTTCATTGGCACAAAACCAGCTAATTGATAACTGGGTTATTTGATACTGTGCATTTATTTGACTGTTTTTTGTTAGCATTTATGTTAATGTAATTAGTAGGCATTCTAACTCTTAAAGTTTTAATAATAGGTTTTGTGTGTATTTGTATAACTGCCATAACACTGAACTGAATTTACTTTTACAACAGAGTGGGGTTTTGACTTAAAAATTTAATGTACATTATATCCAAAGAGCCGTAATTGCCATAGCTGTAAGAATTATTATCTATACAGCCATTACCTCAATATACATACACTGGAGAATAATAGTTTCACTGAGATGTTTCTATATTCTGAAAGCTAAATATTAAACTATTTTTTCATTCTATGATTCATTTAACATCTCCTTTAGAAGATGGCAATGAATGTAAGAATATTATTGAGATTTCTCCAGTGTTTAGACATGAAAATCACCTTCCTTTTCTCATAAAAATATAAAAGAAATTGGAAAATTACTATTAGACTTAGTATTTTACTGGTCTTTGTTCACCCTCTTTTGTTATAATTTTAGTACCAACTTCACCTATATCTCATTTTTTTTATTATAAACTGGGCAAAATGAACAAGTATATGAGTTTTATTTCAGAAAAAAGAATAACTGCTAGAAAACAGAGATCTAGGAGACATTTAACAGGAGTAAGATATGGGAGTTGGACCATCTGGGCTGCCAATACCAAAAATAGCAAGTAAAGGGAGTGCTGAAAAGGATCTCTCCGAACTCCGACAGCTCAGAGTATAGGCTTAGAAATCAACAGGAGAGCTTCGTGAGCTGAATCCTGGCCCTGCTCTATGGAAGTTGAATCTCATGACAGAAGAGAAGAATGAAAATACAGAATTTTATAATTGGCAAAATTAAATCTGACCCTGGCTTCACCACCTATTTAGCCATGTGATCTTAAAGAAGTGCTTCAGATTTATCTTCAGAATGGGAATGATAAAACATAACTCAAAATGATTACGTGAACCAAATGAAAACACACAGGTTCTCAAATCTGTTCAGACAATACAACAAGAAGGTCCTGGGACATGTGTATTTGAGAATTGCATAGAAGATTTGAAAGTTTATGTTTAATTCTGTTATAACCAAATTATATTTCTTTTGCTTAATATGAGTTTTTTTCAGTAATAGAATGCATGCTGAGTAATTGAGTTCCACTAACCCAGTTATGTAATAATTATTTATGTAGGAGAGACGTTTCCCCCTAGACTCTGCAGGAAGAGTAATGCTATAAGGCATGAGGAAAATCTTTTGTTCTTAGCAAATTTTAGTTGTGTGAAATTTTTGGAAACATGGCGTAACATTTTTTTAAAAACCACAGAACAAACTGATTACCATCCAGTCAGAACTGACCCTTGACCCTCCATTGAGTGGGTTTCCAAGGTTTAAGTCCCACCAAAGGAGGCAGCCCTTCTTTCTCACATTGAGAGGACTATTGGTTTCGAAGCACCAGAGAGGCACAGGCTTGGCATCAAAAGTGTAACTCCCTGCGGACTGTGCCACATAGGCACATCCACACAGTGGCCACACAGTTGTTTTAATATCCATCTTTTTGCTCCATTCACTGCATCACCTTTTGAATCCCTTGACAAAGTGCCTTTCCACACATGAGAGTTGTATTTCGTTTGCCACTCTGCTTATTCCTGGGTTGTTCTTTGCAAGATAAGAGGGTCTCTAATCTTGATTTCTTACCAGCAGTAAGCTGTCCAGTGAGAGCAATGCTAAAGGAAAACTAGATATCTGCCCCCTGTTATCACAAAAAATAGGATAGCTTCTTTATGAAAATCCCCCCCAGGAGTGCAGGTGTGGGTGCGGGCAGTAATTGACAATGGACGTAGAAGATATTCATGACTGGTGTAAGAATACAGTAAGCACCTGAACATAATTATGCACTTGAAAATTACATCTGTCCCTAAATCATAACTCCCAAATGATGCTTGGAAAGCTGCATATACTTGACAAGGCTTACCTCTCTGTAGAGAGCCAGATTAAGGCAAGAGTTGTACACACTGGCTCCTCTGGAATGCACCCTCTGTTAGTACCCTCCTCACCAGGGACCAATAAGTAATATAATAGGTGTAGAAATAAGTTGTCAGCAATTTCACTTCTCTTGAGTCCACAGTCAATACCCATGGTAGTCACAGTCAGGAAATCAAAAGACATGTTACATTGGGGAAATCTGCTGTCAAGGACCTCTCCAAAGTGCTCAGGAATAATGATGTCACTTTAAGGTACACCTGATCCATGTCCTAGAATTTTCAGTTGCTTCCTTTGCATCTGAAAGTTGAACAGTGACTAAGGATGACAAACAATCAATGCTTGAATTGTGTAAGAGAATAGTACTGATTATCTCATGGATGGCCAAAAGAACAAGTCTTGTCTTGGACAAAGTACAACCAAGGTGCTCCCTGGAAGCAAGCATGGTGAAAGGCTCATCTCATACTGTGGGCATGTTTGTCAGGAGTGGTGAGACCTTGGAGAAAGACATTATGCTGGAAGAAGTGGAGGGGCAGAGCAAGAAAGACCTTCAGCAAGATAATGGACACAGTGACTGTAACTGGGCACTGGATAGGGCTAGGTTTAAGTCTGTTGCTCATAGGGTCCTGGAGTCAAGGGCACTTAACAATAACAAACGTCATTGGAGAGAAAGATGGACTGCTTCCTGTTGATCTTAAAAACACAATAGAGCAGCATTAAGAAGTAAAAATAAATATGATTTGGTTCTATCAAACCCTTCAGTTTTAAACTGTGATGTGTGTCCCAAACACATCAGCATGTACTATAATTAGACCAACAGCATCCCAAGATACTACATATGCAAGCAAAGTGTCACAAAGTGTCAGGAAACTGAGACAGTAAAAACTTACAAGTGTATAGTCCAAGCCCTGAACTGTTAAAGAACTTTGCCCAACATAACACTATTTATTGTTAAGCAGAAAACAGATGTTTGCCAGTGTTTGAAACAAGATTTGGATCCAGTCCATACCTGACTTCCACACCAAACTCTCTCTCAGACTGTTAGTACTACCTGTTCTTCTAGTTGCCAGCAATGCCACAGGAGCATAATTCTTGTCCTCTTCCATCAGAGTTCTGCCATTTCTTGTGAATCTGCCTTTGAAGTTCTCCATCTAGGAGGTGTCACTTAGGAAGGTCTAGCTCCACATCCTAGATTTTGGCAAGCACGCTCGATTTTCATATGCGTCATCCTTGTTGCTATCCATCCCTTTCTATCTTGGGCCTTACCACCAGGAGCTGTGTTTCTGCTTTGGTTTGGGGCCTGAGTCCCTCTTGAGAAGTGAGGAAGTTAAGACTTCACCTCACATACCTTTTGATGTGTTCTAAGTAGGGATCACGCCCTGGAGTAGGACATGATGCTTGGTAAAATAAAAGGTCAGTAAAAGAAGAAATCTCTGAACAGATGGATTAACACAGTGGCTACAGCCATGGTGTCGAACACAGCCAGAGATTGTGAGGATAGTGTAGCACTGAGCAGTATTTCTGTTGTAGGTAGGTTTGCTAGGAGTCAGTTTGTGCAACAAGAGTTCTTCCCTTGACAGTTTAGTACCAACCTCAGTCTAGAACCTAGAGCACACTGTTTAGCACCTATTGTCGTGATGCCAAATGCTGCCTGTTCTGAGGTGATGTTGCTATTCTCTGCATTCCCACAGAGCTTCCTGCTTCCTCATTTCTCTCTTGTGAAGTTTCTAGGGTGCACCTGCACTTACTGTCTGGCCCTACCTGTATGGGTTGGTCCAGTTCCCATATCAGTTTACACTACCTTCTCCCTCTCCCATCTGTGTGGCATCACAAGAAAGTGATATATACCAAGCTCTCATACCTCATACATCTGAGTGACTGCTATATAGGGGGAAATGTGGTGACCTTTTTAAGCACCTGTTTTTCATTAAATAACTGAAAATATAGTCTGAAGTCCCTTAAGCTCTACTGAGTTTCTTCAGCCTCTGTTCTACTTTCCTAGAAATCTTGAATTGATTGAAATCCACTTCCTCAAATTTTTTTCTTAAAAAATTGTTTCTTTAATCAATTTTCTAAATGTAATTACTGTCTGTAGTGTTACTTTCCACCTTAATATCTAAGTAAAGATATGGATGGCATTATTATCCCTGCTTCTTTCTACTGTCAAAATGACTTCAAATACTTCTGAAACATACAGGACATGCCTATAATGGGCTTTGGTAGATTTCAAGATGTGCAGAAAACACTCCCTAAAATACCAGTGGGTCTTGAAAGATACCCATTTGTTAAATCGATGATAAAAGCCATCTCGGGTCTAATTTCTTTTTCAGCTTAGGTTTTCTTTCTCTCCCTCCATTCCCACGGCCACC